GGGGGGGGGGGGGGGGGGGGGGGGGGGGGGGGGGGGGGGGGGGGGGGGGGGGGGGGTTCGCTTCGAAACCCGAAACCCGGCCTCGTGGGCGCTGCCACACTGGCAAGTGTCCTCAGCACATCGTGGGGGGGAAATAGCCCTCCTCTGCCATTCCGGTGTGTCGCTTCTTGAGGCGCGCGTACATCTCGGCGTTTTGCGTGATGTATGTCTTGGTCTGCTCCTCGTCGGGAAGCTTGAGGAGGCCGAAGCACGCCGTCGGTAACAGGTAACCCCCGCCGACGCTAGGGGAGAGGTAGTCGGCCAGGGCCTGGCATTGCTCCTCTGTGATCGTTCCACCCATCTCTGCCCAGAGACCGTGAGAGGGGACGGCGGGTGGAGGAGAGAGCCGGGGGGCAGAGAGGCACACGGCCAAAGCAAGCGGGACAGAGATGCAACGAGCAAAGGAACGGGATCAAGCAGCAAAGGGGCAGAAGAATACGGGGAGTGAGGCGGTAGCAAGTGGAAGGAGGGGGTCGAGAGCACTTGGAATGTAGTTTGTGTGTGGTGCCCGCATTGCAGTAGCAGGACGGACTCGCTGGAACGTCAGATAGATATTTCCGCATGCTTCGAGCATGGTGGAGTCACGTCACGCAAGCCTTGTGCAGCTGATCATATGCTATCGTTCGTTTCGGTGAGGGAACATTGCACCCTCTGCAGTACTACAGAGGAGGGACTCGTGTTGCAGGGTATACCGCTGCATGTACTGCATTGGCGCTCCATGACTTAATGCGAAAACAACGAAGCACAGACGCAAATTGAGAACTGCGTATCGGCATGACAGCAACAAGCACGAGTAGGTGTTGGGGAGGGGCTGTTGCGTTCCTGTGCCAGTTCGTCTTCAGAAGACGACAGACACCCGTGCTTCCACGACGCAGCGTCCATACTGCTGACAGAGTATCCACACCTTTCTTGCGCGCGTGCAAAGGAGTGACGAGGCTGCTGAGTACCGGTTGCACGGCCCCTGTAATTCGCCGCACGAGTTGCACCACGGTGGTCTCGCCGTCCTCCGGCAGCGGCCTGGGTTCTTGAGGCCTCTGCGAGGAGGCTCCCCGTGCCGCTGGTTCAGCACCCGGCGGCACGAAGCACGCCGATGGGAGCGTGGACTTGTCCGAGAGGACACGGTTAAGCAATACACACTCCTGGTGGGTAACCCGGTCTGTGGGTGTGTGGGTTCAAATGATTCGGGTCGAAGAGCGCCACAAAACGAAACGAAGGTGGAAATTATGTCCGTGCGTCAAATCGTGGTTCAAATGATTCGGTTCGAAGAGCAACAAAACGAACGCAGGTGGCATAGATGTTGCTTTACTGCGGGGTGCGTGGAGCTGCATTCTGTGGTGCGGTTTAGCCTTTAGGGAGCACTTGGTACCTCTCGAGCGAGATCTTCCGGAGTTCCGGTTGCGGTCCTCAAAAGGCTTTAAGCCTAGACTTTAACGACGTTCTACGCAACACATTGCATGATCAAAAGCGTACCATCAAACTGCACGGATTTTCAAGTAACGCCATTCCGTTCTTCACCCAAGCCCACGGATCATTACGGAGACTTGCACCGGCAACACCCCGAAACTCCCGATACAATGAGCTTCACTGGGGAAGACCATCAAGTCGAAGCCATCAACATGCGCAAAGGGCTCCACACTACTACTTCTGGAGCGCCTGTTCATCGTCATTTGACATGAAGAAAAGGCGCATGATTTTATCGACTTGGTCCGCTATGTAGCTTGACCCAAGCATGCGACAGACTGACTCACATTGCGGAGATATTTCATTGCGGTCTTCGAAGTCCTCAAGGTCGTCGAAGCATCCGTCCACCTCGTTGTGCAGGGAATCACGCCGAATGCCCTTGAAACGGTCGCTGTCGGCGATGACCATGATTGATTGTGTTTCCGTCCTTTCTGCTACACAACAATGCAATGAAGCCAGCGTCCGGCGGATCATAGTTCAATACATTCAGCACGAACAGAGGGTAAAAGAGAGAAGGAGGGGACTTCAGAATGTATTTGGGCCAGCTCGCTGACCGTTTCGAATTGCGGGATATTTTTCGTTTATGTTTCTGCTAGGGGGTGTCTTCTTCTGCTTGCTGACATGAGACAAATTGAAGTCAGAAGTGTCGCCCCAAACACCGTACTAGAAGAAAATAACTTTAACATCCTTCGCACATGTAGTACATCAGAGCTGCCACATAGCACGCGAGGTCCCCACTAAATGTATCATGATTTCTTTGCTTGTCAGCTCAATGTCTTCAGTGTAGATTGACGAAACAGCGAACAGCAGCAGATTAATGCCCCTAGTCCCTAGACAACGATCGCAAAGTCGTACAGCATCAGTTCATTCTCCGCCGACACATTAATCTGTTGAGAAGGATTTTCCAACAATGTTGATGTTTCAGCACAACTGGCACGCGTGGCGGTGTCGCCAGAAAACAAGCCGCCTGTACGTAGCGGCCCCAGTTTATTCCCCGCCCACACATGCTCGTCATGTGTTTGAATATGCTTATTTCCGCAACGTTTCAGCACAACAAGAGTATCGTGGCACATTCGCAGCGACAATCCACATATCTTTCAACCTGACCGCACCAAGACACCCAGAGAATTAAGTACCAGTTAAGAGAGGCAACCCTAGGGGACGCCAGGTGTACAAGTAGTCTACAGCATGTCAAAAAAGAGCGGGTGACTCGTGGGATCCAGATCGTTTTGAGGCAAGATATTCACAATGTCCATCGATACCCTAATATGTACAGCAGTATTCAAGATATGCAGTCGAAGAGTGAAAACTCGCTGGGGAAACTAGGTAGGTATATAGTCGTGCCAGCCCACTAGCACGTACACAACCTAGCGTCGACGGCTTCGCAGTGAACAGTCCACGCCACCAAGGAGCAGCGAGATACAACCAAACTAGTAGTATCATCCAAGGTTACACCGAAAGAAGCAGCTAGCTGCACGAAAAAAACGTGTCACCAGAAAGCCAGCTCGTGTCTCTTTCTCAAGTACCGTCGTTCTTACTCTCGTAAAGCGACTCGCACGATCTGCTATATCGTCAAGCAAGATGGCCTCACCTGTGCGGTTGAAGGAGATGGCTCTAGCTCTTGCTCTAAGTCCGTCGTGCCGGGTCAAGGGGTCGCAAAAGAGGGGCAGTGCTCCTGTAGTTCAACTTTCAGGAGTTCAGGAGTTCAGTGGCAGGACATGGGGGCTTGCTCATGGGTGTACCGCGTTTGCTGCCAATCCTACGGACGTGCGGAACCCCTACATACTGCTGTAGTTCAACGCAAACACAAAACAACGCGCAGCACACACAGCAACCACCCAAACCTGGCAGTAAGAGCAGTCGAGAGGCAGTGAGAGAGATTGCTATTAAGCTCGGACATCGCGTAAACTGGACGACATATTCCTTGGAGGCACAGGTATGGCTGGATCCTCCACGTTTTTTGTTCGAGATGGATGCGGCGGAATTTGAATTTTGGGCTTGCTCCCCAGAGTTGTTTGTCCGCAGGTGTGTCGTGGCTGCTCAAGGCATTGTCAGGACAAGCACCGCTTCGAGCTCGCAGGGGTAGCAGTAAGTTGTGAAACTGTAGGGAGTGTAGCGAACAATTTGATGGTGCCGTTGGGAGCCCCATCATGGCCGAGCCTATTGAAGACATATCACCCCAGGTTACCGCAGTCGGTTGCTGATGTCACCCGCTGCATGCCTCATGCTCGCGTTGGTCGTTGGGTCACATTCCGTGCATGGCAAGCCAGCGAAGATACCAACCGAAGCTGTGCGAAATGGTGAGAGAAAGGTCCCTTGACCTGACATAAAACCTTTTTCAGGTGCCGTAAGGCAGTTGCGCAGGCCTGTCGACAGAACTGCCGCACTTGGCTAATGGATGGTTTTGGTTGTGCCTGCAACAAGCGTAGAGTTTTTAATTTCCCGTTACGTGTTAGACTATGCTTAAAATCTAAATCTATACGACCTCAAACTTCCAAGCGCTTTTCTGATAGTGTACCACTTGTACGGAAGTTACACGTTCCTAAAGAGCGCGCGGTCACACGGAAGCAGAAAATAAGGAAATATCTCGGAACGACGTAAGAGAAACACTGGAAAACCAGGCAGGTCACAAGCAAAGGCGCTTGTCACGGTTTGTTTCCAAAATTCTACAATGGCTGAGGCCGCGAAGAGATCAATGGTATATATGGAGCGTCTCTTACACCTGCTCCTCCATGTATTCGTCTCATGCCTACTGCGGTAGTTTTGGTGTGCTTTAGCTCTCTATTTCCCTCCAGGAATACTCCGAGGGGGTCGAAAACACCCGTGGGTCCCAGCTTTCTTCTTCACGTAGCAGGTCAGTAGGGAGCAGACGGAGGACAGCGAGGCAACCGGAGCGGCCTCAGACGAACGGTGCATTGTCTAACAAGCGCTCTTCGTAGGAAGCGGCGGGTTGGTTCTATCCTTGGATCGCCGATCTGAAGCTGAGCAATCCTGGAAGCCAAATCTGCCAAACCTACACCCACAACATTACTTCATGGGCCACTGCCGTGTTTCCCTCTTTGTAGGTAACCGGTCTTCGGCTCTCCTGGAGGGTTGGTCGTACCAGCTAGGGCAACAAGGTGGGAGGGGGGGGATCCGCCGCAACCAGATATGTCGGATCAAGCAACAGACAAACACGCCGTGGCCGATGACGGCGAGGTCGGGATCGAGGAAGAAGTGAGAGACTTCGCCGCTCGTTTCGCGCGCCTTGTCGTCAGCCGCGCCTTCCGAGAAGGCGGCGGCAGTGGCAGCGAAGGTGGCGGCAGCGCTACAACCGCGGCGGCAGCCTCCACGACTCCACGGCCAGCAGGCGCTGCTGCTGCTTCTGCTGCTGGCGGTGACAGCGGTAGGAACCCCGGCGGATCGTCGTCGTTGCGACCGGGTGAGCGGAGCGCCTTGGGATCGTACGTGGCGGAGGCCGAGCTCAGCCTGCGAGGGTCGCAACGGCTCGGGGCGCAGCTCGAGAAGGACGCCAGCATGCTGCGGTCGAAGGTGTTTCCGGCCTTGCTAGAGAACGCCCGAAAGCTGCACGCGTTGTACGTGGCCATCGACCGGATGACCGAGGAGGTCATGCCTGAGGTATATGTGTGTGTCATGTGTATTTTCCGTTGACCGCACTAGCCGGCTGACCAAGAAGTTACGGCAGTGGTATGGCTGGACAACAGTTTGCGGGCTCCCCTCACAAGTGTATGTGTGCTTCTATGGGTTAGTCGACAATTTAGGTGCACACGAGCCGCACCCGGCTGTCAGGAAAGCTGCGCTCTCGGTCGCTGCTGAGTACGTCAACAACTAAATACTTGCAGAGAACGACGGTAGTATGACTACTGTAGTAACGCTCTTGAAGCAGTGCTGCTGTCCTCCCGAACCCCTCGACAGGTGGATGCGACGGTCAAGCGGATGGAGAAGGCCGTCTACGATCTCGAGGAGATGAGAAAGGAGCAGGTCGACACGAGAGCCCCGCACGGGTCGTTTGGGCTGGGGTTGGCCCTGGGGGCCGGGCTGTGGTTCCCTAAGATGAAAGAGAAGGGCGTCACCGTTCCGGAGGTCTTTGACACAGACAAGCTCTTCCGAGTCGAGGAAGGTGGTTTGGCTCCTCTTTAAGGCGAACGGACAGGGGAGGCGATCAAAAAGACGTTTTTTTCGCCCTGACGTGTTGGTTCTGTAAGAACAGGGCATGAGGGCTTCATAACATTCCGCATTGTTGAGGGATCGGGGGCCCGTCACAACTTTTCCGTCGATGTAGAGCGTGAAGCAGGTGTGGCTGTCCAAAATCGGGGTGTGGTTCACTCTTTCATTTTCTCTGCTTTCACACGTCTTTTTTCGGTGCTCGGGGACCAGCCATCTGCCGTCGTCCTTCAATTCTTCCACTCTTGTGTATATATCGTGATGGCCTCGTGGAAAGAAAATGATTTTGATATCAACACGAATCTCGTCGTGGACAGTTTCAAACTCTCGTAAAGAGACAAGGGTCAGGTGCATCCTAGGTGCATGCTCCAAAGGATAATGTTACTATCTTTCGCGGCACCTTCCGATGCTTTTGATCGATCGACGTTCTTTCGCCGAAGTGTCCGTTCTCGTTAAGGAGTGAGTGATTGCCTGACTACTCTCGGAGCTGGCGCCTGTTGGCAACAAGGAACGCACTTCGCTGCGAACAAAAGACAAGCGCGTGCGGTGGTCGTCTGCTGAGCTGAAACATACGCTGCACACAAAGTTGGGAGCGTTTATATTTCGTCAAGACGCGCCAGCGCCTACGATGGGTAGACACGCTTGAACGCCCGCACGACTCGGAAGCCAAGGGTAGGATGAGGCCCAAGTACCTGCCCTGCCTACAACAGAAGACGGGCCATGAGAGATATCCCCTGCAAATCGTTTCTTGTTCAGTGCTAGCCAAGTCACTACATTCCTCCCGCGCAACACATCGGGCATACGAAATGTCATGCCACTTGAACAACACAAAAATGCACGTACGTCCAACGCGCTGCGTGCAGCCCAAAGATCATGCCTGACTACACGTTCAATTTGTGGCACAATCATGAGCACAGCTGCTAGTCGGACAATGATGTGCTGTTGGGCGCTTTTGCCCACACCAGATCGCATCCGATAGGCCTGCTACATAGCCCTGACTCCTAATCGCACTAATAACGCTGCGAAGTCTTGGCCAGTCAAGCTCTTTCTACAGCACAAACAGATCGCTTACGATGGGGCCTGAAACGTCGCAGATGGCGCCTGACTGGCATGTGCGTAGCTGCTACCGCACCAGCTGCCCATTGGCCAAAATAAATCACTGAAAGGAAACGTGCCAGCCAAAAGCTGTAAGGACATTCGGCTTCGCTGACGTGACCAGCCCGCCAACAACAGGAGCACAAAAAAATGAATCTCCGAAAGCAGGGGAAAAGAAAACTGCAACCCTACCCCCCTCACCCCTGAACCAGCAAAACGAAAAATACACGGCGTGAGTGACGAAATCAAACATCTTCGGGGGCGTCCCCATCTATTTCTTCGTTCTCGAGTGCCAAGCGCTCCAGCATGGCCTGCAACTCCGACTCTTCCCTCTGGCTCACCGCCTTTGGCGCCATCTTAACCTGCCCACGTGTCATGTCACGTTTAGGGATACCGGACGAAACCAAGCAGAGGGGGAAGCGAGATGTGTGATCGCTTTTGGCCAGCATACGAACAACGCTCTTCGATGCATGCGCGCGTTTCCAATAGTATGGCGAGAGACGAGAGGTCGCTCATCGCCACGTCAGCTGCGCTTGGCTGGAAATTGTGCACACCGGCGAAGCATTTCTCCATGCTACCCAAAGGACGCATGTGATGAACAGAGAACGGTTGTTACTGCCAGAGCTCACGGGTGTAAACGAGAGGCTGCAAAACGCTGCTGAACGCGCTCTAGGAGGCACCTTGGTCCTTCGAGGCAGCGGGCTGTTAGATACGTGCTGAAAACAAGACTTGACCGGTTCTCAAACATCCGTTGTTGTTATCTTCAAACACTAAAGTCGTTGGCTTGTATCCACACCTCTTTTTCTCTTTCAAGGAACAAACACCCTACACTCCCACGGCCGCATGTGAGATCAAGACAGACAAAATCAAAATAAGAGCAAAAATGTCAGGCGAGTCTTAACACTCGCGAAGAAACACAAAACACAAGACCAACACCAAAAGCACAGGAGGGTCCACACAATGAAAAAACACGAGCGAGAAGGTTTCTTCTCCACTATCATGACAGAATTAACGATTTGCTTCTTACGCACCATCATACCCTGAAAACTTGAGGGATCTCGACCGAGAAGAAGCGCCTCCTGAAATGTACAAGACTGGCATACGGCAGCAGCAGCTTTCACTCTTGATAAAAAGATTCAATAAAGAACAACCAGTACAATACACACACCGACTCCTCCACTCGCTCACCTCCAGCTTTCCCCCCGACTCGATGATCTTTTCGGTCACCACCTCGATCGCCTTCTCCAGCACCGACTTCCCCAGGTCCTTGTCCAGCGTCATGGTGTCCATCACGTACCGCGGAGGAGCGATGAGCTTGATCTGGATGGGCGTCCTCTCGTCCCCCACGGCCTTCCCTGCAATCAACGCTGCCTTGACGGCGTCGATCCCCTCGTACGTGTAGCACGTGACCTCGATGTCCGCGCGCACCTGTGTTCGTGATTGTGTGACGGTGGTGGTGATACACAACCAACCTCAAGAAAATTTCGACTGATGCGCCTTCTACAGCAGTACCAATTGCTCAGCCACTAAAATACCGCTTGGATGGAACAACGGCAGGTACAGCGTGTGCTGCAAAGCCGAACGCTGCGCAGACTCGACAAACAAGTGGCGAAAAACGTCACCCAAGCGGAAACACAAAACCCACCTTGCTCGGCTGCGGTGCCAACCGGCGCTTGATGTGCGTGATCATCGCCTGCTTGGTCTCCTCGTCGATGTCCAGCCCCACGAACACGTCCTCCTCGTCCTGCAGCGTGAGCTTGAACGCGTCGAAGGCGTGCCCGTACTTCTTGTACAGCGGCCAGGAGACCTTCGTGCTGAGGTCCTCGAGCACGAGGCCCCTCAGGTCGGCGACGTGGCGCAGCACGCTGTGCACCGCCTTCGCCTTGTTGTATCGGTCCTCGCACTTCGCCACGTCCTCCGGGCTCACCCTCCGCTTCGACAAGTCGATGTAACCCTGACGTCGCGGAATGACCACAACGCGAGACCACACATTCAGTTGCAACCACACCCCATGTAAGACGCAGCGGCAGAGCAATCTTCAAAGAGTAGTTAGGCGAGGGTGGTACGGCTGGATCAATGATAGGTGGTAAACTGCCTCTCCTCGGACATCTGTCTGTCTTCGATATTTCAGGTTTCCTGGAATCAATGGACAAAGCTTAAGGCGAACGTACAGGCATACACCAGAAAAGCCGCCACCGAAGTGCGTTTGGCGGGTGGTTCCACGAGCCTCCGTGCCACACATGTGAACTACTGCAGTGATTTCCGAGTCTGCCCCAGCTCCCATATACTGGTACCGACTTTCGTTTGCCACATGCATTATACTCTGGGGGGGGTGTACTCATAGTCGTGCATGCCGTAGTCGTTAGACCATTGACCTCGCATCCCTACAAAGCCGGGACGGAGCACGCCGGGTTCTCACCGGACCAGGCTCTCACATCACCAAGCGCGAAGCGCCGTGAGATATTCGGCGAGTCGCATGAAGGGTGCGCTGCATCCTGCTAAGGGTGTTCGGCATCTTGTGCTTACTTCCTTGCGTACGGATGACAGCTGCGTATGAATTAATTTCTTGTCTGGTGCTTTCACCTTCAGAGACAGTTGTAATCACTGTGTAACTGCCTCGAGGGTGCTTGACCATTTTAACACAACGTGGTGCGATCATCCCCCTTGCGCGGAGTGAGGGTTCTCCACCCCGCACAACATGATCTACCGTAAGGTTGCGAGTCAGCGCACAGGGGTGCGATCGATTTTCAAAGCGTAATTTCTCCACAACCAGGAGGTTACCGCTGTCGACAAGGGCGGTTTTGGAAATATCTCATCGAGAGCTTTCCTGAGAAGTATCTGTTGGCGCTCGCACCCTCCTGCTTGTGGAGAAGTTACGCTTTGACAATCGTTCGCACCCCTGTGCGCTGACTCGCAACCTTACGGTACTCGACCACCATTATGGTTACCGCGAAAAAAAAAAACAGAGGTAAAAAAAAAAACGGTAACCTGGTTGCCGAGTTCACGAAGTGAATTTGCTTGCTTTACAACCTCGTTGCCAAGCGACGAAAACCCAACCCCGATGGTGAACACCGGGGGGGTGGGGAAAGTGTGCAACCAAGGAGATTCGAACCAGTATCCTGCCGCTGCCGCCACATGCGAAGGTGTACCAATTCAGGAAAAAGTCAATCTCTGGGGTAGTTTATATTGTACGCCTCGTCCTACTCAATACCGAGGATGGTGTTGAGTAACACAACTCTCAGTTTTGGACCTATGGTACAATACTGATGAGACGAGCCGAGCCTGCTGCAGTTTACTATTGTCACATCCGGTGTACAGCTGCACTGATGAGGCTACAGATGAAAGGCGATTTGTGAGCATGGGCTCACGGAACGGAGAGGAAAGCACCCTGTACCCCTGCAACAACCACGGCTTGAGCGCGACAAAGTATGCTTATCCCTAGATGGGGATGACATCCGGTGAGCCTGCTCGACTGTAGGTACACATGCCTCCGAATACGGCGTTGTGTGGGAAGCCAGCGTAGGGCAAAAAGAACCAACGCGGACCAGCACCAGCGGCATCTCCCATGCTATTTTTCTCTGTTTGCCCCCCTAGGCATAGGCAAGGACTGTGTTGTACCGATGCGCTGGAGCTGCCTATAGTTACGCCAAACAGGTGACGTTCCTGTTGGTTCAAATCAACACGCCCCAGTCACCGGCTGGACTGCAAAATTGCTTTGTAGTGTATGTATTATACCTTCTCTTTGTCGACGCGGAGCACCATGGCCACCTCGTTCCGGTTAACCCGGATGAGCTTGTTGATCGACCGGATACGCCGGCGAGACAGCTCCGACAGGAGAATCATCCCCTCGATGTCGTTGTACTCGAGCAACACCACGTACGCCCCCATCTCCGCGATGTTGCGCACATTGACCATCACCACCTCCTCGATCTCGGGGTATTGCGCCTCGTAGAAGCGGCACTCCAGCCTCTTCCGCTTGGCCTCCTCCTCCGCGTACACGCGGGCCGCGTCCAGAGCCATCTCTGCCTTGCCTTGTACGGGCGGTACCACCACTTGTGCCGCCATCGGGCTGCTGGTGGTGGTGGTGGTGGTGGGATGCGGTGCGGAACAGCAGGGAATGTGAGGAGCGACGACGGCCGCTCCTGTTTGTCTGCCCTGCGGTCTGGTGATGGGGGGTTGGGCAAAGGCGAGAGAGAGAGTGAGGGAGAGGGAGGGAGAGAGAGAGAGAGAGAGAGCAATAGCAGATGATGCCGTGCAACGGCCACTGCAACGATGGAGCAACGGAATCTGCTGCCCCTAACAGCAGTGGGATCACGCAGCAGCTCAACCTAGACAACGCCGACTAGGGGTGCCTGCTTGAGCAGCAGTGCAAGCATCGCCCTTGTCCGACACCTTTGAGGCAAACCAAGTGCTCCTAGCTTTCGACCAGCACAAACCTGGTAATCGGTGCGTCACAGCCAACCCCTAAAGCGCCGAAATATTTTCCTTTCTCTCGAGGAGGGTAGAGAAGCCTGAAGCGCAATGACGGAGCACGACGAGCACTCTCCTCCAAGCCAAGCAGCAACCTCCAGGCGCCTCACATCGCGGGGGGCACGCAGATGTTTTGGAACCCGTGCATGCACGTCGAAATCCACCAGAAAAAAATCTTGCTTGTGCTGTGTGGTTGTTAATGTTGATGTTGTTTCTCACATCATTAGCTCTCTAGTACACCAAAAAAAGGGGAGCCCGTGGTCTCAAAACCCGGCACATACGACAGTGCGGTGGACAGGCCCGGACATGTAAATCCAAAATCTTGTATGGTTGGTGTTGTGCTGGCGGGGCGGCGGGTGCTGAGGGGTCGTTTCTTGCACTCTCTGTGCTGAATGAAGCACCCACAACCCGCATTCATTGTACACGCGCACGCTGCTGGCAGCACTGTTGTTGTTATTGTCTTCACATAAAAACCGTTCCGATCTCTCTATACCCAGTACCTTCGTCTGTCCGTACTGATACAACACTCGACGCGGTCGATTCCCGTGGTCGCAGGCTAACTTACCCTAAAAAGGTACACTCGAATAACATGGCCCCGAGGGGTCCGCAAGTCAATTGAAATCATCGACAGATATTCTGGAGTCCTCCACTCCTTCTGCGCGCTATGCGAGGTAACAACTGAGACTAGGATTCACCATCACGGGCCGGAGAGAAAGAGGTACACCCCCTTCGTTCAATATTGGTACTTCACAACGCAAGCAGATACAAGGCCATCTGGCACAGAAAAAGAGAGAAAAAAGAGAAAAAAAGGAGAAAAAGGGTAGAAAATAAAAGGAAACACCAGTCTAGACTACGGAAAGAGAAAATAAAATGAAAAAGAGCGAAGACAAAAAGGGACCAGGCCTGTGTGAAATAACAAGAAATAAGAGACAGAAAAAGACACACGGTGGAGAGACCACTAACGAACAAGCAAGCACGCAAACATGGCCACCAACCAGCGATACACTGTAATGGTACGTCATCACTAGTGGGGGGTTGGTGCAATGGTGCAGCGTTGGGGGGGGGAGAATTGGCCAAAAGAAATTCAATCCGGCACGTATCGCGCCACTCGGTCCATCTACTCTCGTTTGCTTCCTTCCCTCGCCGTCTCGTCCGTCTCCTGCCCCCCTCCCGCCCCATTGGTTGGTGGTTTGTGGTTTCGTTTGAGCGCCCGTTGTCGGCTGGCCGCTTCTTCCTTCTCGTGCCAGGAGGTCATGAACCTCTCAGCTCCCTGCAGCACCGCCGCATGCCAGGGTACTCCCCCCTCTACCTCCGCGGCATCCACTCTAACTTCGGTGCCGTGTCTTTAGGTACCGGGATTCCGAAACAACATGGATCGGTTTTTGTAGATCCGTGGTCGGCCCCGAATGCCTTCAGGTCGTCGAGCACACACTTCGGCCAGTTCTGTTCCTGTCCCCCCCTACGTCGCTTCTCCCCCCCTTCCATACTAGGGGCAGAGAGAACGAAGGTGTTTGGTACACCATTCACGTAGCCCCTTCCATGTACTCAACCAACTGTCGACAACCATTCCTCTCTCCCCATGAAATACCAAAACCTGAACCCGACCTCTTTCATATCGTGATACGGCGGTGTCCAGATAAAATGTCCGCAAATCACCCTACATTGTAAGACATCTCGGAGGGCCGGTATTGGCTGCCACATATCGGTGTTTTGGCAGCGCCCCCCCAGCTTCTTGTAAATTAACAGAGTACTGCTGTGCCGCATAAAAGCCGTCATGCTGAAAGATCACTTCAAACGAAGTGGACAATCTTACTATAGACTAGTATGTCTACTTTGTAAGTCGAAGCACTGCCGCTGCTCTATGTAACCTTCGTATAATAGGCATCCACAGCAGTGGACAGTCTGTTAACCCCCACGCCCAGTTTGGACCGCAGTCCATTTTGGACTCTTCGCTTGTTTCCTCGTGTGTTGTCCCCCTCGGTGGTCTAGTCAGATCTTGGTTACAAAGACTACCACGGTACGTTAGTCCACATAGTCTACCCGGACAACCGTGACACCGCTATGCAAGACACAACGTTCGTGGTGTGTCGGTCCCACTCTTGATTAACTTCAACCGGGTATAAGCGTGCATCTACTTGCTAAAACTACTAGCAGTTAGAGATGACAGCGCGCAAGTTAGATACAATATCAAACACCGGCTGCGTGGCCACGCTGCTTGCAAATGCAGCTAGAGACGCCCGTGACTTCTCCCCCCTCTGCAACCCAACAGACGTTTTGACAGTCCCTTGGCACCAACTCATCCTATGCCAGGCACCGAAATCATCCCTCTGAGCCTGAGGGTGTTGACGGCGTTCCCAAAGCCGCACCTTGTGATGAACTCTTCTGCGCAAGAATAACGAGACGAGGTGAGCACGAGGCAAATGAGTATCTCGTACAGAGCACGAACAATCTTGCGCAACCCCTATCACAAGAGACTGGCCGCGAGCTCTGCCTTCGTTGTGGCGAAACCTACCAACAACAGGAGGGTGGCATTTCCGCTGGACTAAATCTCGATCACCACGCCACACACTCGCCGCACCTTCGTCTGCGCAGAGATTGAACAGCAGATCGGACACTGCCGTTTTCGAGGAGGACTCTGTTGCCGTCATCTGCTTCAGGAGCCTGGCTCTAAGCGTCCCCTTCGGCGCGTCCACGGGGTGAACCCTCTTGTCCTTGCTGAGTTTTTCGGCACTCTTGTAGTCGTCGCCTGTCAGAGATGCGAGCTTTCTCTTCTCTCGCTCCAGCCTCTGCTTCCACACCTACCAGAGCAAGGAGCGCGAATAAAGAGAGGCGAGATGTTCACAAAAGCGTGCGTATAGGGTACTGATGATAAGAACCTTCGGCACGCTGAGACATGGCATTTCGAGCCTCAGCAAAATTTCATGCACTGGTGGAGTGGTAAACCCACTTGTGTGTACCTTGTGAGGCTATATGACACCACGGGATGCCAATGCAGCATGAAAACGAGACAGTATCATGTGACCTTACTGTCAAGGTGCGGCATGTGCCGCTGATCACCCGCTAAGGCGCAATTTGGCTTTGGTTGATGATGATTGCTTATTGTATGTTCCCCAAGTCCGTATATTGACGTTTACGTACTCGTCACACTTTTTGCTGTGGGCAAATAGCGTTTGCAACCAAAGCACAAAAATCGAACCATGCCGGTTTGGTGTTTGAAGCGAGCTTCGGGGTCAGTAATCGCACAACCGGGGGGAGCACAGGAGTCCCCTCCTGCGTTGCACTCGACTCCAGCCACGTATTCCCAAACGTTCTTCCCCCTCAATCATCTCCTACCTTATCAGCCTCGGGGGGAAATATAGCTCTCTTCACGGCCATCTTGGACTCTTCCGATGCCAGCACCATCCTATTCAGCACCAGCAGTCCAGGGGTAAGCTCAGCGGCTGCGTCGACACCGCTGTCGAGGAATGAGTGCCGGTTACGACACGAGGCAAAATAGGTGGGGAAAAAATGGGCGAAATTACCCTTGAGTCGCCCGCAGTTCCACACTGAATCGTGTTTGCTAGCACCATGGGCCAGAACATGTCGGTCCTCGAGATGAAGCAAGCACAAGAGAGAGTCGAGACGGCGTATTCAATATGGCCCGCCAGCAAGTTGTCAGGTGCTTCATTCGAGTCGGGTTTACGTCGGGTTGGACGGAAACCCACAACGTCTGTATGGTAAAATCTACCGGTATCTACTATGGACTTTTACTTCTCACCCATCCTGGAACTCTTGTCGCACAAGCTGTAGCTCCACGAGCTGAACAACTCGAGGGAGACAGCCATGCTCAAGCAGCACCTCCGCAAAGCCACCAGGCATGTCTAGCAGCAAGTTCAGCACCTGCAAACACCAGGCATGGGACAAGATAAAAAAAACCACGTCGTACAGAGGATGGAGTGTCTCGCGTTCGACACATGGTGAATTACCCCTGTGGTACCCACTGTAGTGTTCGCGCCAGGGGATATGGCTCACAGAACGAGAACACCAAGGACCGCTCAAGAGCGTCGCTTACTTGTAGCTTGGCCATGAAGACGTTGAGCTCTGCATGGTCCAAATGCAAGATGTCCACCAGCACGTACCCGAGCCTGAGCACGGAGACCGCACACCCGGCCAAGCACGGAAATCAAGGGAGGAGTTAGGCAAAGTAGGCTCGAGGATTTGGGATTTAAGGAAGGGTAGCAGCTGCTCTAGGGGTGCCCTAAGCAAACGAAAAATCAACCACAGCTTGAGTCACACAAAGGGCATCAACTTTTCGTTTCCATCCGCACTGCACTGCAGCAGTGTGCTGTAACGATAAGGTAAGCGTTTCTCAGGGAGGGCAATGTTGGGATTCCCTACGCCTCACAAAGCTGCGGCATGTTCTGTGTGAATTCACGTGGCTTTGCAGCTGGAAAGGCAGGGGTGAGTATGCACAGCACGGAGGTTGTGTGATCAGATTGCTCTGCTCCGCTCCAGTTCGACGTGCAATGAAATAGGGTTGTACAAAGTAACCTGCTGCCCATGAGAGGAAAACGCGGGTCGCAAATCAGGTCATGTTCAGCTACACCGACCGTTCGAACACCACGCTTACCGCTTCATGGTTTCTCCTTCCAAAGTTTTCTTCTTCTCCTGTCGCAGCCGGTCCGTGACCCGTGTACCGAAGTTGTGTATGGTGTCCAGCAAACCGAATGCGACAAGAGTCAGCAGCAACGCGAGTTATGCACCCGCGCACTTCGCCACCGATACGAGTGTGACCACAGAACAATAGCAATGTACCGACAACAGCAACACCAACAGCAGCAAGAAGAAGAAGCACAACAACAGCAACATATCATTCGGGTCACCTCTGGTGTGAATCGGACGCCCAGAAGAAAGAGGCCCTGTAACGCTTGCACCATGAGCTTCAAACGGTCCTCGCCTCCCGGAAACGGCGGATACGTGCACCGAACGCAGCCAGCTAGGACCTACAACGCGTTCGGGGCGAGCAGCAGCTTTCCCGTTGCCATGAGAAGTACGGGATCTGCAACAGCAGTATATCTCTTGCAAAAGCTGGACGAATCGTCGAGGCATACGCGGAGACGAATATTCATCACGGCAAAAGCACGGTACAGCATTGTTTCTATTCAAGAGGCACGACAAGCCATATCGCCGAACCGCACCACCACCGCCACTCCTTGCATGTACGACAGGCAACGATGCGCAGGACCCACCGAGAGCAGCAGCAGCAGCAAGTCTTGCTTCTTCTTGAGCTCGTTGAAGGCGGTGGGGTTGGAGGAACCGACGACGTTGAAGATGCGGCACGCGAAGTACAGCACGGACGCTGGTCGAGAGGCCTGCGTTTGCAGTGATGCAAAACATGTGCGTGCGGACGAGACCAAGGGAACGTCAAGTGTGTGAGCAATCGAAACACGATTCACGTGCACACAGCGTGCAAATCATCAACGCAGAGCATGAGCGGTAAAAGCAAGGCTACCACAGCAGTCCTGTGCCTTGGGCCCAAGAAACGACTGCAAACATCGTACCACTGCCCAAGAAGATTAGCATCCAGACCGACCGCTTGACACGAACCGTGTCTCGTACGACAGGCAGCAGACATCATGTTGAAAAGCCTCAGGCGCCCTCTACTGTACTGCTTCACCTGCAGCAGACCGACCAGCATGTCCAGTCCCCCCAGCTGCACGAAGGAGATCTGCCCTTTCGGCTGGTCCCACACGGCATTGTTGAGGCACTTCAGGGCCATTAAGCTCACGCGGAACCCACAGGCCGCGTCGCCATCCTCCTGGGCAGCCTTGGTGTAGGTCTCGAGAGCCTAGAGGAAAATAGCAACGAGTACGCGCGCGGAGAGCGGCTTGGAAACAGCAACGCTTGACTCGTTGGCGCTGGGTCATGTGGATACCAGTGCCACCATGTTGGAAACACTAGGTATATGCAGGCGGCGCAGTACATCACGCGTGCTGGGCTTGAACCGTGGAGAACTAGCTCCTCGTGCCCAAGCAGACGCGCAAACTCCTACCATTATTCTTGCTCGTTTTCCCTCTTTTTCGGTCATCGCCTCGCTCTTGGATACCACGCTGCGCCGGGTGAACGAGCTTCATGCTTGTATCTTATCATATACGTACTGGTTGGCTCTAAACCGCCAAAGACTATTGCATCAACACACTCGACACGTTCGCCGTTTACAATGAAATGCGGCATAATTCTACTGTACCGCAGCCCATACAGTTATGGCGAACCTGGGCTACACTCCTCCGAACTCTCAACTACCTTCCGACACGACATCAATTGAGATACTGCAAGAAAGGCTTTGATGAATAAACTCTTTGCTACGTAAGAGTAGGGAACAACTGTCTCAATAAACCTCCTGGTCCATGAGTCGCTCAGCTCCTCCCCTCTCTCTCAGCAGTATCCGAGCCGCCAACAGTGCCTCAGCCTCCACTGCCAATATCCAGCAGCAGTGTGAAATACAACAAGCACAGCAAACGACAACAAGGCCATTCCATGCAAGCGAAAGTTGGTATGGGTATGCAAACACTGCCATAGAAGAAGGTGTCAGCCGCTGCGGTTTGTGCGATGGCTACTCCTCTAGAAGAACGGGATAAGCCGGCATTGCATACAAGCCCTCAAAAACCAGGGACGAAGACGAGGAGGGGCGGCATGAATGTCTAGTACTATTTCGTGCTGGATACGCATACGTCCTTGACATATTCAGAGGGGAAGTGCAACCATCGTGTCTACATTAATGGTTAGTTTGAGCAACAACACCATCCAGTCGCCGGTGTCGGCTCTTCATATAGTTGAGCGTTGGCTCTGCCGTATCGGATCAGCATACACGTTTGTAGCTGTGCATTGCTATGCATACAAGTTGGTTGCCTGTACAAAATACAGTAGGTTGCTGCATGAGATACCATACCCCTTGGATCGATTTGCACAGCTCCATTACTCCATGACGAAGAGGAAGCAAAAATCAAGTGATAATGGCTCGAGAAGCTCTCGACAAGATGGTTCCAAAGCCGCCATTTTTGGCACCGCGATTGTTTTCGCTGCAGAGCTGCAAGAGTACTCGAGCTTTGAAAATTGGTCCGGGGGGTGGTATCTTACGCAACCCACGGTAGACACCGCGCACGAGAACGGTCCGCACCACTAGTCGATATTTCCTAATCGGGCAGCAGGGTGCAACTGCCGAGACCTCACCTCCCGGACCAAGAGTTCGGCTCCTGTGCCTCCCATTCAACCCAACGGTATGGTGGAGAAGCTCCACCACCACTCGCACGAGAATCCGCTTGTTGTCAAGCCCACAGAGAGGACTCACCGCCCAGGTCCCTGAATGTGACGAAGACACAGCAGTTTCGGCCAGGATACAGCAGTACAGCAGCAAACCAAAAGATTAGCACATCACCTATTCACAGCCATAGCCTTATTCTTCGGTCTATACGCCGCTCGCAATGTACGAGGCTGAGTGGGTTGCAGACTCTGGTACGTTGATGCCGGTGTACAGCAGCGGTTCTGCACATGTTCTGTAGAGAGGGAGACGTCGCAGGAACCCCCTTCGGATCCAACGGTGAACCTACCTTCGTGAGCGGTTGAGAAGCGTCGCAGGATGGCTACCCACTGATCTCCTGAAATCGAGGTCACTCCGCCCTTGGCGGCAGCGAGGAACTCTTCCATCACCTCTCCGTGCTGCTGTGGCTATAATGCGAGACAGGCTCGGCTGAGATAGGACATAGAAGTATGAAATATGGGGGCTCGCAGATGCGCTATGTTGTGCATGCGTATCCAAAAACTGCTGCCCCTGAGCCGCCTTCGGGAAGCAACGACCCGACCACACACATGCAGCACGCGTGCAGGGTTACCGTCTCGTTCTGCTCTCTCCCTCTCCACCTCAGCCTACTCTGTCCTTGCAGCGTCACTTATCGTCGAATGGCGTAAGATCTTGGCCACAACCTCTTCCCGTTCCGGGACTGGTCACTACAACATCGTGCTTCGGGGGGCAACCTCGGTGGCAGCGGATCAGCTCCACATGCAAAGGGTTAGATGGTCAGATGTGACCTAATGCGTAACTAACACAAAGCGTTTACTGACAACAGAATTGTAGTTGCTGTTTGTTGTGTAGTTGGCAGTGGTGGCGCAGTTTGGGTAGATACAACACAGAGTGATCATTAGATCCAAAACACAGGCGCCCAAGCTGTCTTCACCTGACGGTTACAGACTTGGAGACACGCCTTCACAATACTGCACA